CATTGGAACAGCCAAAATCGCCCCCAAAATATAGTATACAGGATCTTTATGTCTAAAACAACTGAACAGAAGTTGATTTCTCTCAGCAGTCTGAAAAGCCAAATCATTTATTTATTTTAATTTTTGGATGGAGTCAGGAAGCGGCTTACACCCTCTCTCTTTATTTTGTCCTTTTCACAAGATTTCCATTCACTTCCTGTCCCGAACATGGAACAGGAAGTGAGGGTAATTCCTTACAAATACCCCCTCTTAAGACAGTTGTCACTGGAACAGGCGTCCCCATTGGAAGATTTCACCTCTATTCCTGTTCTGGTGACGACCATAACATCTTGGATTTCCCATCACTTCCTGTCTCAGTGACTCCATGACAAATAGAGAGGTGAATCTCCCCGGTGGGGGAACAGACAACTATAAATACCTGGACCATGTGTATTGTCCTGGATTTGACACATTGGTAGATCGCGGTTGAAGAACATCGATCGAGCTCATGCCGAGTGCAGAGGCTCCAGTGAGGCCACCCACCACTAGAACTAGGGGCCCCGAGCTTTAAAGGAGAACTATGAGGGGGGGAGGGGCTTTTCACTCACCTCATAGTTCTAGCCGACGTGTGACAATGAGACTGTCCACAGGTCGGCTCAGTAGATCGGGAGGTGAGAGAACACATAGCGGCGCTCGCTCACCTCTCGATCCTGTCACTGCTCTCTGCCGGATTCCGATCCGGCAGAGAGCAGTTTCCCCCCTCCCCGCTCCTCCAGCGCTGACTGGTGGAACGGACGGGGGAGGGGGCGGGTACAGCTGGCTCTGCCTCTAGATAGGCAGAGCCAGCTGTCACTCACGCAGCTGAATGGATCCAGACATCTACGTCGGGATCCGCTCCGGCTGCGGCGTCTCAGTATACCGCGAGCTGTAGCTCCCTATATACTGAGCTTAGGGTGACGGGAGGACGGTAGTTTGTGTCCTCCCGTCACCCTGAGGAGGACTATGGGGGAAAAACACTGACCTCGGAGTTCTCCTTTAAGGTGCACATGTACAAAGTCTAATGGGAGAGCAAAGATCGGAGTCCTCGTATATTAGTGTTTGGCTCTCGTACACTTTACTGGATCTCGGCTCATATGAAAGCTGTAGGCCGGCCCTCTGATGACCCGTGCCCAGTGGCGTCACAAGGGGGGTGCGGCCCGCAGATGGGTGACACCATTGGAGGGGTGACACCAAAATGACTCACAGTCATTTTGGTGTCACCCCCCCCCCTGTGAAAAGTCGGGCGCTCGGTCATGGACCGAACTCCCGCGGTATCAGGAGAGAGGAGGGGACCCGGCGGCATACCTCATCCCGCCGGGTGACTGTCCCCTCCTCTCTCTGCCGGCGTCCATCACCAAGATGGCCGCCGGCAGGTATCAGAATACTAGCACGTGCGCGATGCCGTCATCGCGCACTGGCGTGGTGATGTCACGCGCATACGCAGTGACGTCTCGGCGGGGTGACACTCAGTTACTGCTCCCTGTGTCACCCAGCCTCGGGACGCCCCTGCCCGTGCCCATTCTATAGTCTGATGTGAAGCCATGAAGATGAACCATGGCCACCATCAAGCTTCATACACACATGGGCAGACTAGACGGAAAGTTTCACTAGGTTCCCAGTTGTTCCGTGGTGTAGAGATACGCCCGGACCGTCACGCGTGTGATGGAGGAGAGGTCACCCCGCTGTATGAGGATGCAGCCACACCATGGATTACCTTGGCATCCAGGATCTTGTCCCACTGCGGCGTCAGATAATACATGATCCCGGTAACGGCTCCCTCCAGGGTAATGCCACGAATGAAGAGGATGGTGAGGACCACGTAGGGGAAGGTGGCTGTGAAATAGACCACCTGAGGGAACAGAAAGACCGCAGAGGAGAGTTCACAATTACTGCGACGGAACAAAACAATCATTTATAATTGCATTACATACAATGCGTGTCGGCAATCTCCCCTCCCCCACCCCACCCCCCTTCTACACACACATGTGCCCAGGAGGACACGCAATGCAGTGCTGGAACATGACGGCTCGCTAGGATGTCAATCACAAAGCCTGGACCAAGCACCTCTCTGATGCCATTGAAAGCCCATCAGCATGCTGTATGGAATAAGACTACAGTGATGTCCTGCATCCCTAAAGGTCTAAGGTGCATGCATTGGGGGCTGATCTGAGGTGTATGCATTGGGGCTGATCTGAGGTCTTACGGTGCATGCATTGGGGCTGATCTGAGATGTGAAGGTACATGCATTGGGGGCTGATCTGAGGTGTGAAGGTGCATGCATCGGGGCTGATCTGAGGTGTGAAGGTGCATGCATTGGGGCTGATCTGAGGTGTGAAGGTGCATGCATCGGCGCTGATCTGAGGTGTGAAGGTGCATGCATTGGGGTTGATGTGAGGTGTGAAGGTGCATGCATTGGGGCTGATCTGAGGTGTGAAGGTGCATGCATTGGGGCTGATCTGAGGTGTGAAGGTGCATGCAT